GAACTGGACATGGGCTCCTGTGCTGAGCAAGAGTCTATCTGCAGTTGATACCAGCTTGCAAAGGAAAAATTAGTTTTCACCAATGAAGTCTCACTAGGTATGTAAACCACTCACTCTTAAGGGAAGGCCCCATGCCCAGCGGTAGATACAAAGCGAAATCTATGGTATTTTTGTAGGCTTTTTGTCTCATTGCTTTGTTTGGGCATGTTTTGTCTTTTTACTCTATTGATTTCCAATTTAGTATTTTTGTGTTGGTTTGTGTGTATGAGAGAGATTCTGGTGGCTTGTTTGATTGGTTGGTTGGGTTTTTTGTTTGTTTGTTTCTAAAGAAAGAGAAGATGGGTCCTCTCAGCCTGGGCTGGCTGAAGACATCCACAGGCCCGGGTAGACAGACACCATCATGACAAGCACATACATGGTGGAGAAATGCTTACCACCTGGGGCCATGGTGATGTCCGGGCCTGGGCTGCTGCTGAGGGCCGAGTCTGGACCCCTGGTCCACAGCTGGCCTCTGTGTTGATATCTGTGGCCCATGTTCCTACCAAAGTCCACACAGATACCCCAGGATCTGGGTCTGGGCTGCCACCTGAGGCCATGTTGTTGTCTGAGGGATTTGCTGCCACAGGGGCCATTCTGATCTAAGTGGCCTGCACTTCCACCTAGTGCCATGGTGACATCTGGGCCCAAGCTATATCTGAGGGCCATGGCTGGGGTCCATGGCCCTACGGCAGTCAGGGTCTGTGTTGATGTCTCTGGCCCCTAATACTATTAAAGGTAGTGCAGGGTCTGGGCTGACCTGGAGCCATTTTGGTGTTCAAGAGCCATGCTGATCCAATGGCCTGCACTGCTGCCTCGGGCCATGGTGATATATGGGCCTAGGCTGCTGCCAAGGACCATGTTTGGGTCCATGGTCTTACTGCAGCCAGTATCTGTGCTATTGTCCATGGCCTATGTTGCCACCAAAGGCTACATGATTGCCCTGGGTCTGGGCCATCACCTGTGGCCATGTTGGTGTCCAAGAGCCATGTCTATCTGAGTGGCCTGTGTTGCTACCAAAGGCCACATGAATACCCAAAATCTGGGCCACCACTTGTAGCCATATGGGTATCCAAGGGTCATACCGACACCAGGGCCATACAGATCTGAGTGACCTGTGCTGCTACCTGGTGCCATGGTGGCATCCAGACATGAGCTGGTCCCAAGGGCCATGTCTGGGTTTGTGGCTCTACATAGACCAGGGTCTGATTTGATGACCGTTGTTCATGTTACCACCAAGAGCCATGAGGATACCTGGGCTCTGGTCAGCCACATGAGATGATATTGGTGTCCTAGAGTCATGCTACCACTGGGGCCATTGCCACTGGGGCCATGGTGACATCCAGGCCCAAGCATCTGCCAAGAGCCATGTCTGAGTCTGTGACCCTGGTGTGGCTGAAGTCTGTGCTGATCTCCATAGCCCAAGATACCACAGCGGACCAAAGGCATCATGCATGTTGAAATCCAAGGGCCTTGCTGAACCAGCACTTCCCTATGCTGTGGCTGGGGGAGTTGGCCCTGCCCCCAAATGGGATAGATAGCTGACTCTGCCCCTCCCCAGAGGCTCCAGTGGCTGAGACTAACCAAATCAGCTCCCGCACAGACCCACATCCAGGGCTTTGAGTTGGCCCACCCAGCATCTTCCCCATCTGTGCCTACCAGAGGTGAGGAGGGACTGGTCCTGTGGAACCATGGCCACTGCAGGATCTCCATGACTCGGGACAACAGCAGGATATCCAGGAGGAGTTTCAGTGAGGGTCCAGTGTCAACAGTGTGCCAGAAGCCAGAGACCTTGAACCTGACCAGTAACTCATTACAATGAACATTTGCAAGTAAAGCAGAGTGGACAAGACACACCGCAGCTCCTAATGTCACTAAGAGGAATGAAGAGGTGTTAGAGAGTCAGGAAAGATGGAGAAGCAAAAGTGGTTTTGTTTGTTTGTTTTGTTTTTAATTAATATTTTTCAATTTTCTTTTGGGGAGAATGCTATAGTGATGAGGGGTGGATACGGGAGCCTGGGAAGTGAGCTGCATTTGAGCATGGTGTGAAATTTCCAAAGAGTCAGTAGGAGAGAGAGAGAGAGGAAGAGAGAGAGAGAGAGAGAGAGAGAGAGAGAGAGAGAGAGAGAAAAAAGGTGTGTAGTTAGGTGGGTGGGGAGGTGGGGAGGATCTGAAAGGAGTTGGATGTAGGGAAAGCTGTAGCCACGCCTTCTTAGGAGCTGGCTACAGGTGTGCCTGACCAGGCTTGTGAGGGCGTGGTCAGAGTGACATAGTGGGACTGCGTTTTCGGTTTCGGTTTCTCTTTTGCTTCTTGCGGTAGAGGCTGCTGCCACCGGCTGGCTAGATCGCTCTGTAAGTAAGGCTTTTCCCTATTAAATACCCTTATATTTCTACCTGACTCTGTATTGGTAATTTCCCACTATAGTTGGGGGAAGGGAGAAGTGTGATCAGAATATACCATATGAGAGAAAAGCTTTTCGATTATAAATAAGACTTAAAGGGACCAGACACTGGTAGTCAGAGGACTAAGGTCTAAAATCTTCATGGCAGACACTTAAGAAAGTTATGGTAGGATAAAATGCTGAATTAAAAAAATTAAATTTCATTATAAAGTCCAATAAAGGGGCTAAGTTGGCTCAGAATGTGTAAGTCATTTGCCACACAGGTGATGACACGAAGTCAGTCCCTGGATCCCATAAAGCTGTCTTCTAACCTCCATGTGCATGCAAGCACACACATGCACATGGTGCGCACACACACACACACACACACACACACACACACACGCACACACACACACACACACACACACAAAAACAGCAAAAAAGAGGAAGAACTTGGGAGGCCTAAGGTGAAGCACACCTTAAGCCCAACGTAAAGGAGACAGAGGCAGGTGATTCTCTACCCATTCCAGACTGCACTGATCCACACAGTGAGTTCTAGGCTATCCAGGGCTACATAGGGAAACCCAGCCTCAAAAATAAATAACAACAGATAGACAAACACAGTAAGTAATTTTCCCCCAAGCAAAAGCTTGTCCCCATGAATCCTAAACCTCCACATAAAACCCAGTGCTCTTATCATTAATAATTCTTATTTTGTTAAGAACAATTCCATGTGAAATAATTTGCAAGGTTTTACTTTGTAACTGATGAGCAAAAATTGTATTTGTTATATACAACATGAGATTTTGAAAATCCATATACATTGCACAGTGGTTTGCTGATAATTACCATGTTTTCTTCAAACAATTAGCATGTTTGTGATGAGAACACAGAAAATCCACTTGTAGCTATTTTCAAAATTTTGCATTTGTCAGAGGCCCTAGCACAAGCCATGCAGTGCACATTACTACTGGGGCTTGGGGCTTGACAGCAGGCATGGAGATGAGGCTCCCCGGGCACAGTCTATGGGAGCCACAGGGCGAGAGTGCTGGGGTTCAGTGAGATGTGCAGAAGTCCTCAGGTCTGCGCCAGTCTGCTTTTCTGGCCAAGTGCCTGTTGGAGGAAGGCCTGCTGGGGACTATAGCCAACTCAAAGAGGAACCACCAGCTGGTTCTAGAGATGCAGGCAAGCACAGTCCCCTCTGCTGAGGCTCCCATCTGTGGAGTCCTGTGAACATCCACAGCTGGGCCCCCATGGTGCCTCTCACTATTGACCTTTACCACTAGAAAAGAGACATTTCTAAGAATGAGTCAACAGAAAGCTCTTTTGTTAATCTAGCCTGTGCTGAAGCTTCCTCATTTAAAAATAAAGTGATATCACCTATTTCCTCTATCTCCACAGGTAGCTGATCATAGTGTTCATTTGGCTGAGCCAAAGGGCGCTGATACTCCATCAACCCTTTTTCTGAGTGATCCTGCAGTGTGCCTGGAATGTAAGTAACAGGTAACTTGGAGTGAAGTGAATCACCCTCCGTAATGAATGCGGGTGATTCATCCAATCAAGTGAAGGCCTGAAGAGAACAAAGATTGACCCTTGAACTAGAAAGAATCCTGCAGCAGATGCTCTGTAGACACAAAAGACAGCATCCCTGGTGCTGTGTTACATGGGAAGCCTTAAGGCTCTTGCCTGTCTCAGCACTGTGATTGTGATGATTTGTAGAGTGCGTTTAACCGGGGCTTATATATGCTCACAGCAGTAGTATTCACAATGGTCAAGAGGTGGAAACCAATGTTCATCAGCTGATAATGGATAACGAAATGCAGTGAATAAACAGTGTGTATAGCATGTAGTGCATAAATAAATAAGATAGGTAAAATGCAGAATATAAAACAGGACACTATTTGGGCTGGGCACGGTAGCACCTGTCCTCTCAGATCCACCCCATTCCAAACCCACCCACCTTTGTGTCCTCATTTTTAGTGCTGCCTATATTCTCTTAGGCTTGTGGCTACCCACTGGAGTGTGTTAGCCAATCAGAGACTGTATCCTTAAAGAAAGCTAACTCACCCCTTCCCATCATCTACCAATTACAAAGAGCTCCTTGGACAGGCATGGGACTTCACGCCACTGAGATTTGGTCTAGCTTGGGCTCGAAGGGTCTTGTGCACGCTGTCACAACCCCTGTGAGTTCACATGTGAACTGCCCTGTTGACTCCAGAAAACAGTTTCCTTATAGTCAGTCACTGTCTCTGGCTCTCATACTGTGTCCAAGAACATAAACCTTCAGTCTGGGGAGATGGAAAAGTTCTGTAGGCAGGTGGTAGCAGTGGTCACAAAACGATGAAATTCTATTGAATACCACAGAACTGTATGCATCCTAAATAGTACTAAGAGGGCACATTATTATGTATAGTTTGTTACCATTATATTTTAGGCCAGGTAGTGGTGATGCATGCCTTTAATCCCAGCACTTGTGAGGCAGTTTGAGGCCAGCCTGGTCTACAGAGTGAGTTCCAAGATAACCAAGGCTGCACAGAGACAGTTTTGGTAATGCAAGTTAGAATAGAAAGTGAGAGATGCGGAGAAAATGGCGGCAGGGGTCGAAGCGGCGGCCGAAGTGGCAGCGACAGAGCCCAAAATGGAGGAAGAGAGAGGCGCGCCCTGCGTGCCGAGCGGCAACGGAGCTCCAGGCCCGAAGGGTGAAGGAGAACGACCTACTCAGAATGAGAAGAGGAAGGAGAAAAACATAAAAAGAGGAGGCAATCGCTTTGAGCCGTATACCAATCCAACCAAAAGATACAGAGCCTTCATTACCAACATACCTTTTGATGTGAAATGGCAGTCCCTTAAAGACCTGGTTAAAGAAAAAGTTGGTGAGGTAACATACGTGGAGCTCTTAATGGACGCTGAAGGAAAGTCAAGGGGATGTGCTGTTGTTGAATTCAGGATGGAAGAGAGCATGAAAAAAGCTGCTGAAGTTTTAAACAAGCATAGTCTGAGTGGAAGACCACTGAAAGTCAAAGAAGATCCTGATGGTGAACATGCAAGGAGAGCAAGGCAAAAGGCTGGAAGACTTGGAAGCACAGTATTTGTAGCAAATCTGGATTATAAAGTTGGCTGGAAGAAACTGAAGGAAGTATTTAGTATGGCTGGTGTGGTGGTCCGAGCAGACTTTCTGGACGATAAAGATGGGAAAAGTCGTGGAATAGGCACTTGTAACTTTCGAACAGTCCATTGAAGCTGTCCAAGCTATATCTATGTTTAATGGCCAGCTGCTGTTTGATAGACCAATGCACGTCAAAATGGATGAGAGGGCCTTACCAAAGGGATTTTTCCCTCCTGAACGACCATAGCAACTTCCCCATGGACTTGGTGGTATTGGCATGGGGTTAGGACCTGGAGGACAGCCTACTGATGCCAACCACCTTAACAAAGGCATTGGAATGGGAAACCTAGGGCCTGCAGGAATGGGAATGGAAGGCATAGGATTTGGAATAAATAAAATTGGAGGCATGGAAGGACCCTTTGGTGGTGGTATGGAAAACATGGGGCGATTTGGATCTGGGATGAACATCGGCAGAATAAATGAAATCCTAAGTAATGCACTGAAGAGAGGAGAGATCATTGCAAAGCAGGGAGGAGGTGGAGCTGGAGGCAGTGTCCCAGGGACCGAGAGGATGGGCCCTGGCATTGACCTCATTGGCGGTGCTGGCATGGAGCACATGGGGGCAGGCCTAGGCCATGGCATGGATCGAGTGGGCTCTGAGATTGAGCATATGGGCCTGGTCATGGACCGCATGGGCTCAGTAGAGCGCATGGGCTCTGGCATCGACCGCATGGGCCCAATAGGTCTTGACCACATGGCCTCCAGTATTGAGCGCATGGGCCAGATCATGGAACGCATTGGCTCTGGCGTGGAGCGCATGGGTGCCGGCATGGGCTTCGGCTTGGAGCACATGGCCACGCCCATTGACCGAGTGGCCAAACCATTGAGCGCATGGGCTCTGGTGTAGAGCTTATGGGCCCTGCCGTAGAGCGTATGGGCCCTGCCATTGAGCGTATGGGCCTGAGCATGGATCGTTTTTCCCTCCTGAACGACCATAGCAACTTCCCCATGGACTTGGTGGTATTGGCATGGGGTTAGGACCTGGAGGACAGCCTACTGATGCCAACCACCTTAACAAAGGCATTGGAATGGGAAACCTAGGGCCTGCAGGAATGGGAATGGAAGGCATAGGATTTGGAATAAATAAAATTGGAGGCATGGAAGGACCCTTTGGTGGTGGCATGGAAAACATGGGGCGATTTGGATCTGGGATGAACATGGGCAGAATAAATGAAATCCTAAGTAATGCACTGAAGAGAGGAGAGATCATTGCAAAGCAGGGAGGAGGTGGAGCTGGAGGCAGTGTCCCAGGGATCGAGAGGATGGGCCCTGGCATTGACCTCATTGGCGGTGCTGGCATGGAGCACATGGGTGCAGGCCTAGGCCATGGCATGGATCGAGTGGGCTCTGAGATTGAGCATATGGGCCTGGTCATGGACCGCATGGGCTCAGTAGAGCGCATGGGCTCTGGCATTGACCGCATGGGCCCAATAGGTCTTGACCACATGGCCTCCAGTATTGAGCGCATGGGCCAGATCATGGAACGCATTGGCTCTGGCGTGGAGCGCATGGGTGCCGGCATGGGCTTCGGCCTGGAGCGCATGGCCGCGCCCATTGACCGAGTGGGCCAAACCATTGAGCGCATGGGCTCTGGTGTAGAGCGTATGGGCCCTGCCATTGAGCGTATGGGCCTGAGCATGGATCGCATGGTGCCCACAGGCATGGGGGCCGGCCTGGAGCGCATGGGCCCTGTGATGGATCGTATGGCCACTGGCCTGGAGCGCATGGGCGCCAACAACCTGGAGCGCATGGGCCTGGAGCGCATGGGAGCCAACAGTCTGGAGCGCATGGGCCTGGAGCGAATAGGCGCCAACAGTCTGGAGCATATGGGCCTGGCCATGGGCCCAGCATTGGGCGCTGGCATTGAGCGAATGGGCCTGGCCATGGGTAGCGCTGGAGGTGCTAGCTTTGACAGAGCCATTGAGATGGAGCGGGGCAACTTTGGAGGAAGCTTCGCAGGTTCCTTTGGCGGAGCTGGAGGCCATGCACCTGGAGTAGCCAGGAAGGCCTGCCAGATATTTGTGAGAAAT